ATAAAATTATAATTATATATACAATTTTGTCATGCACCATGTGTAAATATAATTTATACATAATATATACACAATATATATATGTATATATGAAATAAATATGCACATACATATAAAAATACTTTTTATTTTAATGAAGTAATACAATATTTTGATGTAAATTATCTTAAGTGGACTCTCTCTATAGAAATTTCCTCTGAAAAGCACTTGAAAAGTAGCCTTTGTTTTGCTTTTTAAGTTTGATGTTGGTATTAAGTCTCCTAAGTTTGTTTACCTGCATTCTCTTTAAGTATATTAAATGTTTTGGGATATGGTAGATTTGTGCAGAATGAGAAAGTTTTGCTAGTTGACATACACAACCTTTCCTCTACATTTCCTCTTACAGCAGCATTACCAAACAGAATGGAAGAACTGGTTTAAGTTTTCTGGGGGTATGTAGCAGAACCAATTCAGAAGTTCATTATAATCTTGCTGGTAGCTGAGTCCTATCTAAATACTGTTTCTGAATTCTCTACAGTTTCTTCTTCTCCTTAATCAAAAGGGAATATAAGTAAAAGGCAGGATTTGAGATTATTATCTTGTCTGTTGAAGCTGTCTAGTCCATTCTGTGGAATAAATTTAACTTGGTTTACGTGGTAACTATTGGACACCCGATAACAAAGGTATTCACAAAGAGATTTGCTGAAAATGGGAAAGACATGGACTGGTCTATTTTGTATCATAGATCTTGTAGGGTCTAGGAGAAACTTTGAGAAAAGGCCTACCAAACCACTATGGAGCGTGGATGATGATGTTTGGCTCACAGCCCTCAGTCACTGCTTGTCGCTGTGTTCTCAGTCTGCTCAGCGTAAGCTGAAAGTACTATATCGTGTCATTTTGAAAGAGACTTTCAGTGCTCTGCATGTTTCATTATAGATCAGTATGAGTATAGATCAGACACATGACCAAAGTTGATGAACCTCCTGGTGGGGAAAGGAGCCTTTTGCCTTCTTTCCTGAGTTCCTTTCCCAATTTAAAATAGCCTGACAGTGTGTATTTGTGTGCAGACTGTCGTTTGGACTGTCCACGTCCAACAAATGTTTAGTAGTCTGTCTGGCCAGTAAGCTGATACTGTAATGAGGATGTCTTTTCAGAGACATCCTGCCTGTTCAAAATGTCTCTACAAGACATCAGCACTTGAAGTGGTGGAACTCTTTCTGGCTTTTGGTAATAAAAGTGGAGTTTATACATGGATTCACCAGAGGTTATGTAGGATAACTGTGGGTTACAGGATGGGAAGATGCAGGGTTTTGTAGCAGGTTGGATCGTTTGTTCCAGGATCAAACGCATGGTAAGGATGAAAAAAATGACATAGCTGCTTGGTTGGAGATAATAAGGCTCCTTAGGGAGGGTGGGATAGCTTGAGCTATGTACTCGGGAAGCCTGTTGTTTTCAAATTATTGCTATCCTTTTTACTTGTTGCATTGCTGTTCAGATCTAAGAGCTACAGTGACGCTGCAATTTGAAGTTAAGCACCACTGAACTATAAATAATTGAGAGAAATGTTGGAAGCTTGCTGATGTTTAATGCCCAACCTGTGGGAAACTTTTTTTTTTTGCAGAACTGGAATAGAAGTATTGCAGGACAATTTCAGCAATTCTTTATTGATGTAAATAAAGGCAAGATCAGTTTGTGTTGATACTCTGTACAACTATACTGTCTTCACACTTGGAAAGTCTTGAGAATTACAGTTAAAGTGAAGTTGTACGTAGTACATACAGTTGCATTTTAGGCGTGTTAATTATATGTTGTTACACGTGAAATCTTCCAAATGCAGAGAGGAGGAATTTGGCAAATTTAAGACATAACACTCTTCCAGAATGTACTGATTGGACTTTTTTCTTTACTGATGCCTGTTATAGGCCTTTCACTGAAGCCAGTGAAATGGGGATGTAGGTCAAAGTTTTGAGTATGCCTTGGGAGATTCTCTAATTCCTGTAGTGAGATGGCAGGAAAAGATAAGGGAGACACAAATTCTGTTAGAAATATTACTGAATCTGTGTAGTATTAGGGAAATATAAAGATACCTGGAAGAAGTAAGGAGCAATGGCTTCTGTTTGTTTAAAAACAAATTTTCTGATTGTGTTGGAAAATACTACCATTTTCAAGTTAAGGCAAAGGTTGTTAGGTAGGTGAAAAAACCCTTCTGTTTACATCATTAGGTGTATTCTCTAGAATGCCTCACTTGCTGAAAAGAAATCTCAAGGATTTGAGAGTCATATTATTTGCAGTTGTTGATGCTTGACAGATCATGTACACAAAAGCAGTATGATTTCTCTCTGTGATTCTTTTCGATAACAATGCACAGTTAACATGTTGAATTCAGTGCCATAATAAATAATTTCTGAGTGCAGTAACGTGATGGGATTAGTAAAACCAACACCCCCGCAAGCCTCTGACAGCACAGAATGTTACAAAAATATGGATGAGAAAGAAGGGCTTCAGGTTATCAACAATGGGCTAGGATGTAATTTCTTCTGTAGGAAGGTTTTTTCCATAATTAACCACCCTAAAAGCATCTTCTTCCAAAATAGCTGTATTAGCCATTGTCAGTTTGGATTTATATGTGTATCTGTCTTGCTCTGCTCATAATCTCCTGTATATGACTGAGGAATCACCCAGATTGTTTTGTTTCTAGTAGTCTTTCTCATTCTTCATGCTTTGCTCCATCTTCTTTCTTTGCCTTCTGCCTTGAAAAATGACCAAATCCTTCTTAGCTAGAAATAGTGACTTTGATTTCAAGATATTTTTTCTTAGAGTTGCCTTTAGAATCAAAACTAGAATACAGACAGAAAATCCTACTGAGACTGACAGCCCAACTTTTTATCTTCTTTTTCTGGTAAAGCAACATTATCTTGATAAAACTATGTATTAGACTTCTTTAATGCTGGTTTTCCTTATCTTATTTAAATTGCAAATGGCATTCTTCAATGCATGTCCTAGAAAGATTTAACTGTGATGTCACTGGGGTAGCTCTTCAAAAATATCATATTAGTATTCTTCAAAGGATGAGACTTAATGAGGAATTTCCAAAGAGTGGTGTCTTGGGTTTTTCACATTCCACACAAAAGACTTCCAAATGACACTGTAAAAGTCTGAAGAAGCAGCTGGAACTTGATCTCCCCTGACTCAAGATAGTTATACTGCAGCATGTCAATGTCAGCGATACTTACAGTAATGTTTAATTTGGTGCAGCCTGGGCAGATGAGTGAAGCAAAGCCATGCTGAATTAACTGCTGAGGCTCCTGACATTTCCACTATTTGTGGTTTGTGAGTTTTACTTTGGACTAGGTTTAGTTTCATCCTTTGAACTGAATGTCCCACAGCTCACTTCAAAGCCATCTGAACATAACTATCCCACAAATCTTTGCTTCTTTGACTTGTGGATTACTGTAGGAACTGCCATGCTCACCCTTCATCTGTCTCACTGCTGATTTCTGTCCCCACTCCAAGTGGATGTTGTACAAATAATGGCCTTTTAGGGGAACATAGGTGCTGTAGGAGTTGTGCAGAACACTATGGGCTATCCTTCACAAGTACCAGAAATGCCTTCTGAGGCAAATGGTTGTCTGGAACCCATCTCTTCTGCGGAGTGAATGCCATGGCATCACTTCTGGTCAAACATTAAATCCGTGCCAAGTTGATAAGTATTACAGAATCCCCATCTCA